TGTGAAGTTTTGTTGAAATCGGTTGAAAAATGTAGGAAATCTGATCCAATATATAAACGAACACACACACACACATGCACACAACCTGGGTTTTATAATAAGTATGATTGTAAAGAAAAAAGGTTACTAATTGTAATGACATTCACGTGAATGCCTCAAAATTTTCAAAATAATTGAACTTAACATGGTGTTCTATCAAATGTTAAATATTAATATTAAATATTAATGTTAAATGCTAAATATTAAAATGAAATACTAGATACTAATATCAAATACTAATATTAAATACTAAATTCTAATAACAAATACTAAATATCAATACTAAATATACTAATATTACTAAAATATGTGTTTGTAAGAAAAAATTCTTAAGTACTATATTTTGCAATTTTCTATCGAAAATGTATTTGAACAAGTTTCAGCCGTCAGTTTGTATGGTGTACATTGAAAACCTGACAAAAATGGATCCACATGCCAGTTTTGCCAAGAATCCTGTTAATCAGCTATAAATATGGGACACTTCCTGTTTTCTTTTCTCTCTTTTCCTTCTTGCATGCGTTAGAACTCATGCTGGCCATCTTTCTCCTTACTGACTAAACTTTAACACACACACAGACACATACATGTATCTTTCTCTCTCTCACACACACACACACACAAGTCCTAACTTTTAATGTCTTCTTTCTTTTTTTTCCAATGATATTCATCTTGTTCTTGTGGTAGAGAGTTACAGAGTAAGACGCACCACCCCAAGCAAGGTGATAATGCCAAAATGTATTTTCCAAACATTTCTTTCATTTTTTTTTGCTACATAAATTTGAGCAAAATAGGTAGAGAGCACAGAAAAAATGTATAAATCCAGTTTCATGTTTGGGTTTTATTAAAATTCTAAAAATAGCTTTTTAAAATAAAAAAAATTACTGAAGGAGTCTACAGAATTATAGAAAAAATACATGCTTTTTTTGTGGGTACATTTGTTAAACATTGCCAAAAATTTTAGCAATAAATGAATTCAACACATACATGGATTTTATAATTCCATAATACTTACCCTAAATTGGAAAAATTATAATGGGGTGGAGGTGGGGGTCTTTAATTGTGGCTGTGTATTCAAATCATATCTCTATCATTAATTATAATGAGATGAATTTTTGTTATGGTTGCATGTTCAAATTACACTGGAGTCACCAATTGTAATGGCGGTAACTTTAGTTGTACGTGCATGTTCAAAACATGTCAGAAGATTATCAATTGTAATGGCATTCGGATAAATGTCTCAACATTTTCAAAATAAATAAATTCAATACATACATCTCTATTTAGTTGTTATGAATTTCATGACTAAAACAAAAAAAACAGGAATAGCAACTTAAACATATATAGCCACTAAAATAACATTTATAGCAATAAGAAACAAAACATATCAAATTATCATGTTGCAAAGTTTAATTTTTCTAACATCTATATTCTATAATAATGAAGTTATTTAAATTTTAATACCTTTCAACTAACAAATTTAGAAATTAAAACTATTTAAAAATAGCAATTGCAAGCCACATCATATGCTTACAACTAATTCTATGTGATATGTACAGGGTGTCCATAAAGTTTGTGTACACTTTAAAAAATTTATAACTTTATTTGTATTTGCAATAGAAATAATCTGTAAAAAATGTTATAAAGTTTAATGTACCTAGTTTTAAGTATAGATAAAATAACTAATGTGATTTCAGTTGGCAAATGTTTTCTGTGAACTGCAAAATCGTATTACCCTTTGTATTGCTAATGATGGAGGACATGTGGAAACTTAAATAAAATTTCAATAAAACCTTAAAAAATAGAGATTTACTTCTTTCTAATCCTTTTTACAAATTATTTCTACCGCAAATACAAATAAAGTTATAAATTTTTTAAAGTGCACACGATCTTTATGGACACCCTGTATATAAACTAGCATAAGAGTCGCCCGATAGGGTGGCAATTAAGCTAGCTCCTGCGAAGGGCTCTTGATTGGGCCTTCAACTTGTTCAGGATTTTGAGAGTCCCTAAGACTTTGCATATTCTCAACATTGGAAGCTCTCCTGGTTGATTTGATCTGGGCTTTCATTTGCATATGGCTTTTTTTTCCTCATTGCAGACTTCACTCTTTTGATTGCAATCTGATGCTCTGTTGGCAGAGATTTCATTTTGTGAGGCATACTACTGCCTTATAGGCAACAATAAACTACTGAAGAACTCAACATTGATCACTTCATTTAAGTATTGAATTAATGTTCACTCTTACCTTCTAGAAATTCAACAATAATTTTTCTGACGACACTTACTTCAAAGACAGTTTGATGTATGTAGGTCCTTACTTTCTGTACAAACAATTATTTTTATTTCATGGGTGAATTTTGCTGGATTTCACAATTAATTTCAATTATTCCAAAATTTATTTCCAAGTTATAACAATTATTATTGTATAAAAAAAAATCACTATAATGAAAACTTGAGAATCTAAAATTTCAGAATTGCATGTCCAGCGCTAGCCTGTAATGTTTTTAATTTGCTCATGGAGTCGGCCTGATTCCAAAATAGTATGATATGTCATGCTACAGTCTCTAGTAGTAAAGCTGAAAAAATGTTACACAGTGGCATACTAACATTTGCATTTATTTGTATAAAAGATAGACATCAAGAGAAAAAAATAAAGATTAATTTCCAATGTTTGAAAACATTGATTCCACACTTCCATAAAAAAACAAATCAATTAATTGGATTTTTAGTTATTCATCAAAAACATAAGTTACTTCTATTTTCTGTTCATTCACATTTTAATTGTATTCTAAATTTAAATAAAAGTTATTGTTCTAACTCCTCCACATAGCTTTGCCAGTTTTTCCAAGAAGTTGTTAGCTGGCGCTGCCTAGCAACTATAAAAACGGGTCACTTCCTGGTCTATCTCTATCTTGTCTCTCTTTTTTGGGTACCTCGAGATGGTGTAATGGTTAGCAAGCTTGTCTCGCTAGATCAATTACTACTGAGTAGTGAGTTCGATCCTCACTGGGTACCTCTATGCTTTTGGCCTTGTGCCGCATCTAAGCTACGCTTGTCTCTCTTTTTCCTTCTGGTAAGCGGTAGAAGTTGTTAGGTAAATGCCAATAGGGACCTCCCTAGGCATAGAGTGGAGGATAGCTTTACCTTTTTAGTAACTGAACTCTTTCACACACATACACATGTAACACCCATATAATTCTGTAGCAGGATGCTAGTATGTTTGGGTAAAAACATTATGTTATGGGAATCAACACCTTGAAGAGTAAATATTTATGGGCTGCTGGAAAATTTATCCCACAAATGATATTGGGTGACACAATGTGAGTCCAAGTAAAAAATGAGTAACACAAAACAATAAATAAATATAAAACAAAAGACAATGCATGTATTAACAAACAAAAGGAATTACATGTGAAGACCGTTGTATGAATGGAAAAAAAATTAAAACAAATATGCTCTTGTGTGTGTGTGTGTGTGTGTGTGTGTGTGTGTGTGTGACACATGTGTGAGAGAGTACAAAAAATCAAGAGAGAGAAAAACCATAAAAATGAATGTGCTCCAGCGGGGGTGGGAAGGGGAACACTTTACCCACATGTAACTACATTTGAAAGCCAGAGCTAAAAGTGAATTTAAAAAAGAGGGAGTGAGAATATGATTGCCTATTTATAGTGCCCCCCTAGTGAGTGGTTTTGGCAATGTCAAGTGGGGTAACACAGTTCCTAACTTGTATTGTAAATTATATTCCTTCTTTTGCATGCATACTCATGTATTTTCTCTCTTTTTTACTCAGTTATATAAAAACAAGAATATAAAATATCGCTTTGTTGAAATTGTCTTCTATTATCTTACACATCATTTACATGTGCAAAATATTGTTGCAACTGCTTTTAGTCAAACTTGGAGTAGTGCACCAATACTCTCCATCCGTCTTGAAACTAAACTTCAAAAGTAGCCTATTTACTAAAGGAGTTTGTGTAGGTTTTGCGTAGGCTTTAATAACTTTTATTTAAATGTAGATATATTCTCAAGCTCAGTTTAGGTTGGTGTAAGATCACAACGAAAATTTCTTGTGTAAATAGAACAACTAAGAGATTTAAGAGTGAGCACAAAAATAGAAAAATTGTTTAAAATTGAAAAAAAAAGAAGCAAAAAAAAAATTAAATTTGTAGAAATATAAATTAAACCTACTAAAAATTTTAGTAGTTTCATTTAAGTTTTAGTTCATATGTTGAATTGAATTTAAAATCCGGAGAATGGCAAGAACTTTTTTAAATATTTATTCTTTTTAAAAAACTGTCATTGTTTGAAAATTCAGAAAGTGAACTTTAATTAGATTTCACACATTAATAACTTTTTTTTTTTTTTTTTAAAAGTTTTCTTGCATAATCCAGTAGTTTCAGATCAGAAGAAAATTGTTCATGTGAAAATAGAATCTGAATCCAAGAAAGTTGCCCAAGTCTCTTTAAGTCCTTGTTCCACATGTTGCTGAAAAACTTCAAATTCGATGTGGTTTTCTTCCCATCCAGTGGGATATTGGTTACACTTTTTAATCAAAAGAGTTTTCATAGCTTGTTGATACTTTGATAGTGAAATGTAACCTTTGGATGTAGGGTCCAATAAATTAAACAATGATTTGATATTTGTTTCATCCATGAAACAAGGTATACCAGTTCCGCTTATTTTTGCCTCATTTAGGCCTTCCAGATATTCCACCAAAAACGTTTTGGGGTTTTTTGGTCGGTGAAATACCAGTATGGCTGTCATATTCTGGAAAAGTTCGACGATTTTGTGTTTTTTCAGATACTCTAAGGCATTTTCCTCCAAATGTGTCTTCGCTTCTGGCTCCATGATTGTTTAAAGTACAGTTGTCATGGCAACAGGCAAGAGTAAGCTCCCTTTAGTTGTAAGAAGTTATCTCCCCATAGGCGAATTGAGACAGCTAGAAAAGTTTTTCTATCTCCATGTCCGATCCGAAAAAAAGTAAGTTTTAAAGTTTTTTTTATTTTATATCTTTGTTATATATATTTTTATAGTTTCAAGACAAACGATTGTTTAGTATTCTTTTATGTTTAAAGAATGTTAAAAAGTTAATATTTATTAATGTCCTACTGATTGTATAATTGTATTTTTTTTTTTGGCAATGTGATGAACCACGTGGACTTTCTTCTCTTGGCGCCACTTCTAATCGTTATGGAATTAAATAACTTTAATTTAATTCCAGCAATTTTTATCTTTTTTTAACAATTTTTTTCCTGTTTTCTTTTGTATCCATTGAAAAATGTAAATAGACTATTTACTTGCAACAATTTCTTGTTTAATAATTTTTATTTATATTACGAAATTGGTACCCCCTCGTTCGCATTTCTTACTTAAGTATTTTTATTTATATTTTACTTATTTAATTAATATCATTTAATAATATTCGTTGCGCAAATTCGCTTCACTAATAATTTTTTTAAACGGATACCTGATTTAAGATTTTGATGTAATTAACAAAAACGTAATCGACCAAGTAATACTTTTTTTTAACTGACACTCCGGTCTTTAAAAACATATCCGAATATGTTACAGTAGTAGTGATATGCAAACGAATATTTGGTTTAAAAATAGTTTGAGACATTTATTTAATTTATTTAATAGTTTACCTTCTTCATGGGCAAAGAAGTGTGGTCAATCATGTGATGACAAAAAAGAGTTACAAAAGAAACAAAAACAGTTGTTGAAATCGTTTATTGTACTTATTATTTTAATATGCATGTCATTCTGTTCTCTAGTTTAACTCCTGTTAAAAGAAATAAATACTACGTATTTCTTAATTCAAATTGCAGTAAAAATATAATAATTACAAAACAACTTAAAAAATAATTCTAATATGAAAATTAAACTTAAAATTTGATATTCAAATGAATAAAAACTAAATTCTTTTTTCTTTATCATCAATGCCTTTCTTTTTGTTTTGAAAGGGAACTTGCTAATTTCTGATTATAAAAAAAAAATGAAATGATCTCTCAACAACACTGTATTTTTCTGTTTAGGAAACTCTTAAATTAATTTTCAGTGTGTTTTAAAAAATTTAAATACAATTTGTAAAAAAAAAAAAAATATTTAACTTTACTAGGTTTATTATTAGACCTTAAAAATAAAATCAACTTACTTTTAATTTAAAAAAAAGAAAAAAAAGATCTTTTATGAAACCGGCGACAATCAAATCTTTTTATTTTTTTTTATTTAATTCGGTTAAATTTTTTTTCTCTTTCTTTTAGTTTAAAAAAAAAACGTATTGAAAAGTTTCATATCACCTTTTTTTTCAGTAAAGATTCACAATTGTATCTTTATTTTATAATTCCTTTCTTTTTTGACATTTTCCAAACTTAGAATTAATTAAAAATTAACTTTTATTTTATTTTGATAATTGTTTAAGTGAATTTTACCGGTTCAAAATAAAAAAAAAAGAAAAACTAATTAAATTAACTTTTTGTCGTTTTTTTTTTTTTTTCTTTTACGTAATTCACGATATGAAGTCATTTTTATGAATTTGAATCAACAATAAAACTTTTAGTTATTTTTTGTCTCTCCCTTCCAAGGCTTAAACTCTGACCTTTTCATTTTGGGGTCGTCGCTTCTCATTGGCATTTTTCGCTACCTCCATCCTCACATCACATGTTTTAAGTTTTTTATCATCGTAAAAAAATATAATTTTTTTTTTTATTTTTTTTTTATTTTTTAAATAAATTATCTTTGTCATCTTAAATTATTAGACTACCAAAAATGTATTTTTTAATAAAAAATAATGTCGTGTATTATTACTTGGACAGAACATGTATGTTAAAAAGACAGAACCGCTCCATTTAAAAATTGGGTTGACCTTGTGGAGAGATAGGCCCTCCCTCCCAGACAAGATTTATTTACCATCCGTCCTACGACAAAGTTAGGGAACATGTATCCTTACAAAAGTTTCTGTTTTTAAGGATACACTGAGTGACAGGTTCCCTCATTTTGTCGTAACGAATTCGTGTTTATCATCAAACACGAGGTCGTTTTTCTTTATGGACCTGAACTACCGAAAACAGTGTGCTCTGGTCATTAGGTCACATTTATTAATGTCCACAAAACAATTTAGAGACTGACCCCAGGGCATACCATTTAAAAGTGATTTATTTAGTTACCTCCAAAATGGATGCGTGTACACGGTGTACATCTTTTTCTTTCCCGAAAAAACAAAAAACGATATTTTTTATTTATTTATTTTTTTTATCCGATTTAAATGAAAATTTCAGAATTTAATCATTTAATGGATATTGTGTACTGAATAGGTTAGAAAACTTTGCAGAAATATTTTTGGTGGTGGTCAATTTCAGCCCCCCGCCCCCCCCCCCTTTCGATAGGTTTGGGAATACTTTTTAAATTTGGGTCTGTGGTGAGGGTGGAGTGATGACTTTTTTAAATTTTTTTTTTAAAGAAATATCCTTAAAATATATATATATATATATATATATATATATATGTTTTTTTTTTACACCATAGAAATATAGCATCTCTAAAATTTAACCTGAATACTTACAAATATATAATTCATTTAAAAACCCGAGTTGGCGTTTGCATAAAAAACACTATTTTCTTTTAGATTTGCCAGGTAAAACCATCGGCAATGAGTATTTATTTTAGAAAAATTTAATTGTAATTTTTCTTTTCAGTGTTATTTTGAAATTCTTTCAATAGTTGCTGATGACGATTTGTTTTTTGTCTTTTTTTTTTTTTTTTTTTTTTTTAAACAGATAGCGACATTTATGAGAGAGATGAAATTTAAACTTTTATTGCATTATTCTAAAATTTTAACACATTGGCAGATAGCTAGTATTAACTGTCAAGAGCTGAGCACAAATAGTTATTAATTTAAAAAAAAACTTAGTAATTAATGTATAATATTATCCAGAACTATACGAACAAGAATGTTTTTGATAAAAGTTAAAAAAAATAACAATAAATACGTAAAAAAAAAAATGTGTATATTGTTGAAAATTCCTTTTTCCATAATATAACTATTTGTGCTATGTTATAATGCTTATTACGTAAACAATAATAATACTGAATAATTTTTTTTTTTAAACATTGAAGTATATTTAATCACATCTCCCTAATAGCTGTTGCGATCTGTAAATTAAAGATGTTTGAAGAATCGAAAAGTGTATGTAAAGTTTGATGCCATTTTTGCATCATGAATTTTATTTTCAAAACTATTTGATCACTTTTGAATAGAACATCAAACAGGGAATAATTCTACAATTTTGAATTACTATTGATTATATAAAGTGTAGGTTACTCCTACATAACTTCACCAGTTTTGCCAAGAAGTCACCAGAGGGTGTTCTTGAGCAGCTTTACAAGCAGGACATTTTCTTTCTCTTATCTCTCTCCCTCCCAGTTCTTTAGTGACAGCTCCAGGTCACTGAAGGTTACGCCATAACACTGTGCAATTGGGTTGTTGATTATAATGATTGGCTGTAATAAAATATACTTAATTTTGTAGTGTCTGTTCCAGTTAGCATGATAGGTGGAAATGTAACAGACTAGTAGAACTATTTTCCTGGCCAAGAATGGAAATAAATATTTAAATTTTAATTGTTTTTATGCTGAAGTTTGAAACTGACAAAATTTTCCTGAGGAATGTATTATTATAAACAATTTAAAACGTTTTCCAGATGAACAGAAATAAAGTAGAAAATGGAAAATCACAGAAAACTGGATTTTTACTACTAAAAAATAAAATATTCTGATGGTAAAATGTAAAATTCCAGAGCTGGAACTTAACAGAATCATTATTTGCATAAACTTGAAATACACAGTGAGGTCGGTCACTTATGTGCAAGTGCTATGACCTATATTGTTGCAACATGTCATTCTATAAATAACATGGGATATTTTCCACTGCTGATCCCAGTACTGTACAAGCACCATAACCTAATTTATGATATTAACCTGGCCCAAACCGTTCACTGCTGGTTGCCACAGTGCAAATACCCATGTGCAATATCAGTATATGAATAGTGTGACACATGCCGTTAAGGTTAGTAAAAATAAAAGTTGTTGTTTGTTTAGTAATTAGATTTTTAAATACTGGTTTGCTTATATTTCATAATGGGCAAACAAAAAGCTAGCAAACTTGGTGGGTGCACACTTTTGGCAAAATACAGAGCTGAAGAGTCAGCTTTCTGCAATGATCTTTATCATGATGGCGATAAATTATTTTGCAGTTTTTGTCAACACACCATAGATTGGATTCATAGGGATGCGCTTGTGGATCATCAAAAATCGTTGAAGCACACAAAAAAAAAATAAATAAATAAAAGATGCCTATATAAGTACGCTATATATTTGCATATTTTACTGTTTACAAAGAAGTTTCTGTTTTTCATGTGTTTTTATGTTTCTGAAACAAAAATGGAAAATTGAAATTTGCCATCACAGAAGAACACTGAGAACTTGCCACTCTTTGGCAATATTTTACTATCTCCTAGGCAATAAAAATTTATTCCCCCTCTCCTATTTCCCCTTTCTCTGTGATCTTTTCAGTCAATGTGTTTCTAACCAGAAAGAAATGAGAGATCGAGATCTGTGTGGATGGTGGGGGCATATAAAAATGAAAGAACCTTTCCCCAAGTTAAATGCTTTTATTTTATAGACATTAGAAAAATATTTACTTTTTTTTTTTTAACTTTTTTCATCCCAAACCAAATTTAGATCTGATGAAATTTCTTTGAATGATGTATGATTTTTGTGATGCTCACATTGGATTCTCTTTAGGTGAGGTCCTGTTTTTTTCCCCTGATTGAACATTGAGAAGAAAAATTATAAGGATGCTATTGAGGAAAAAGATAAAACCTGTAAAAAGTTGCTGGCCAATCATAATTCAGGTTATCTCATCTTCGTATGGCTAAGCTCTTTGCTATGAACTTTACCTTTAAGTGTAGGTTAGATGAAAAACATCATCCCCCACTTCATGGAGCACAAGTTTTGTGATTTGTCAATATCAGCTTGGGATGTTTCTAGGTTTATCAAAGCCTTGACTCTGCAAAGGCAACTGGCCTTGATAAGATGTCTGTTCTCAAGAAACTTGACTCAGAACTGTCTCCAATCTTGGTGAAGCTGTTTAACATCAAACTTAAGATGTGTTTCCCAAACCCATGGTAGGTGTCTAGTGTGTGCAAGAATGCAAGTAAGCCCTCGTCCCCATCATGATACCCCCGCCTCAGCCTCATAAGTGTTATTAGCAAAATCTTTGAAGTGCTTATAAACAAGAAAGTTGTTGAACACCTCAACTAAAACAAAATCCCGGGTGACAAACTGTATCATTTTTTCTCTTTTTGATCCACTGCTGATATGCTAAATATTATCACAGTGAAGCATTTGATAATAAAAAAAATCTTGGTCACCTTAGATATTTCAAAGGTCTTTGACAAGGTCTGACTCTGGGGATTGCTATACAAATTGGCCTTGTAGGTCTTTGAAGATCATCATTAATGGCCAATCCTCTGAGGCATGTGAAATCAATGCTGGTGTCTCCCAATGTTCTCTCTTCAGTCCTACCCTCATTCCAAGTTATATTAATGATCTGCCCAAGAATACCCTCAGATCATTATTAAATATATATGCTAATGGTACCACAATGTATTGGTGAACCTCAAAATATCTTGATAAGTGTCTGGCAGCTGATCTCTCCTGGCCCCTCTCACATCTCAATGGAGGGGGACTATTTTGTAACATTCAATATATCAAAAACTAAACTAATAACATTTCATCACCACCAAGCAGACTCTAAAACTGCACAAATCCTGACTGGTCTTACTCTCAAACAGACTTCTTGCTTTGAATATTGTTCTCTTCCATGCTAAGGGAATAAATACTTAACACCAGGTGGATAATAGAAGAAAGGTTTATTGTACACAACCAGTACAATTATGAAATACAGTACAGTTATACACACAGGTTAATTTAGTAGTGTGTGCCACTAATTGGAAGGTTGGACGTGCTTGCGTCTTCTCTCTCTCACTCTTCCCCAAGTTTCTTGTATACAGTTGACTTTATAGGTACTTACTACCTATAGTGTAATCATTCATGGGGCGACTGGTTATTCCATTACATCAAATGCCTACTGGGTTGAAAGTTTTGAAATGAACTATTAAACAAGGTGTAGCCTGTTTTGCATCCATAAAAAACACGTTATGAACCTTTCTTTTATTGAATCTCTGAATAATTGGGAAGTTTAATCTACCTTTTTTTTTTTTTTTTTTTTTGTAGAAATAACAGATGGATAGAGAAACCAATTTATTCTTTACATAGGCATAAATTTTTTTTTTTTTTTTCTTCAGTGAAATCCCAAGAGAAGGTTCTCATTTTGGGCAGTGGAGGCAGGGAACATGTCCTTGCTTGGAAAATTGCTCAGTCCAGTCACGTCCAAGATGTGTTTGTTGCCCCAGGCAATGCAGGAACACACGGCAGTGATAAAATGACGAATGTAGGTAAGTATCTATCCAGTGCTGCTGTTTCAGTTGAGATCTATTGAGTTATGACCCCCACCCTCTTTTTCAGGTATTAATATAGTACCTTGCAGAACACAATGTAAAATGGTGATTAGAGAGATATGGAACTAGATTTTAAGAGTTGACAGAAATGCCGGCTTTTTGTATTGAAAGAAACTTCTATTTGGTACTTGTGCACCATTTTGTTTTCTCTTATATGGGATGAGTATTCTTTATCTGAAATTCCAAAATCTGAAAGTTTTTCAGGTGCTGACATGATCAGCCACAGATGGAAAATTTCAGAAAGCCCAGCTGCATAGCCTACATTGGCACCAGCTTCTGCTAGCAATTATCACGGCAACACTTTCTTTCATGGATTACTTACCTGGTGTTTCATGCTCGGTAAAGATATTATTTTTCGTGTCAATGTCCTGCATTTATATATTGCAAGTAGTGATCTTTTTTTTTTTTTTTTTTTTTTTTTTTTACACATACAGAAAGTACAAAACATTATTTTTAGATGACATCTTAATTTCACCACTTAATAATCTGTGTGAGCATTACATGACTAATGTCATTGCCTGTATCTGTATGTACACAAAATTTATTAAATTTTATGTAAAACTACTTTCAGGGTATATGTATAAGCTGTGTTATGAAATGTAAAGGTATATCATACTTATGCTTGGGCTCCATTCCCCCCCAAATCTGAAAATCAAAGTACATCTGGTCCCAAGAATTTCGAATAAAGGATTCTCAACCTGTAGTTTATTCAAATTGTTTGCACAGTTCCTCAGGAATTGATATTCCTACCCTATCATACCTTCATGTTAGAGCAGTTTAGGACATTGACTACTTCTGAATATTGTGTTTATTTGTATGTGTGTGTGTTTTTTTATATATATATATATAATAAAGGAAGGCTGGAAACAGCTGCATCAAAAAGGTATAGACAACAAAATAGTACTCAGTACAAAATTCAAAGTCAGATATGTAGAGCTAAAATATTTAAAAGCTGGTTAAGGTGCCAGCCTACCTCGCAACTTGGGTTTTGACCGCAAGGTCTCTTCAGGCAAGTGAAAGGATGTATAAGCCAGAAAACTACTCCAATATACCAGAACACTGGAAATGAGGGTAAGAAATATGTGGATAAGGGTATGGGTGGGAATTATTTAGTTTTATATCACTCATCTTCTAGGTTCATAGGTATCTAATAAAAAAATAAATAAATATTTCTTAAATGCCTGTACTTAGACATAATCTCCTTTCTCTAATTTAATAAAACACCTTTTTCAGGATATGCAGCAATAGCCAATTTCTCTTCCTGTTACAGCCAGCAACTTACCATGAATTCTGACCGGTTTTATCTTCCCCACAATGATCCACCTCACACAAGAGCTTCTGCTATTCTTCTCTTTCTATTTCCAGACACAATTAGCCAGCTTGGTGTCATTTCTGTGGTTTTTCAACATATATATTATTCAAAAATTGTAACATAAAAATGTTATAAAATCACTACAAAAATAGCCATTTTGTTTCGACACTTCTGGTGTCTTATCAAGTGATGGTGTTGAATGTAGAAATGTTTGATATATATATATATATATATATAAAGAAATGGACAAAGTTCGACAATTATTTTAAGACAATTATGTTTATACGTTCTTTATATAGATACAAATATTTAAGTAAATGCTCTGTTTATCATAGAAAATATGCCTCCTTTCATAATGTGTGATGTCATTTGTTTACATTTGGATACACATTGAGCAGATATGATATGAATGTATGAGAGAAAATCATGGAGAATTGTGGTTTAAAAACAGTAAAATCGACCTTGTTAACCGGAATGCTTCTCTGTGGCTCAATCGTTAAAAGCATGTCAGGCTATATGACGATTCCGTATAGGATACAGGTTCGATTCCTGTCAGAAGACGCATATTTTCTATGAAATTTTCTCGGACATTCAGGCTGGTAAATGTTGTTTAATACTGTTTATTATATACAGAGCATTTACTTAAATATTTGTATCTATAAAAAGAACGTATAAACATAAAAAGTCTTTTATATATATATATATATATATATATATATATATATATATATTTTGGGTAATTTTGGATAATAAGTGCGACATTACTGTAATTATTGAACAATATAGTTTATGCCACTTTGACAGAAAATTTACCAGTAAAAAATTCGTTTATCACCATATTTGTACATGAGCGCACAACTGTAAAAAATTTAAAATCAAACTCAGCGTTGCTATTGCACGCTCCAAAAACAATAACTCATTTCCAATAGCATTTTTCGGATACAACAATACATATATTTTCGTTGTCCTCTTATTACTAAGAGAAAAAACAAGAACAACATCTATTCCATACCTGAAGATGTCTGTAGGAACAGACGAAAACTTGTAATAAAAATAAGAACTAATGCGGCAGAAATTTATAGGAACAAGGATCTTTTCATTCATAACGGATTCGGAGGTTTTTGTATATTATTTGAATTGTTTGCGACGATGGATTTCTCGCCAGTTAAATCATTAACCTTTGCATTTGTTTTTGTGTGAATAATTCATGAATTTGTAAATTGATTGCACGTTTATCGAAATATATATATATATATCTTTTTAATAGAAGGCTCCTGGAAACCATAAGCTACTCACAAAACATCATTTAACAAAAGGATATCCTAATCAGCACAAACATGTCAAAATATGTGAAAACTTAACAATATAAACAAAAAAAAAAAATAAAATAAAAAACCCTTTTTACAACTCAAAATAATATAACACCTGCCTAAAGGAGAAAATAGCCATACTCCCCTTTCAAGAACAGGATAAATTCTTAAACAAAAAAAATCAGAATTCTTTTCCAAATGCAGTCATGAAAGCAAATTCCTACTATGCTACTTATAATCACACGAAAAACAAAAAGTTTAAATAAAATCCCATGAAATAAGCTTTCTAGAGGTCATAACCATAAGCAAACTCTTTGAATCTATAATCAGCAAAATAATTGTTGAACGACCTCCTCAGTGATAACCATTATGGATTTTGCCTTGCTAGATCAACAGCTGATGTCTTTAATGGTCATTGCTCACAGAATTGGCAACACAGTAGACAAATTCACCACTAAGAACATTTGTCTAGATATATCAAAGGCTTTTGACAAGGTGTGGCATTGGAGGCTGCTACATAAACTCTCCATCTGTGGAATCTCTGGAAGGGCTCTCTCACTTATAAACACTTTCCTAACTGGTAAATCCCTGAATGCTATTGTTAACAGCCAGTTATTGGAAGCCCTTAAGATCAGTTTTGGCATTTCTTGAGAGTTCTCTCTTGGGTCCTGACCCCTTTCTATTGTATATTAAAGAACTTACTAAGAGCATACTCCGATCATTAGTGAGCATCTATGCGGATCATACAACAGCTTACAAG